TGCATTTAAATTTAATTTTTGCTTCTCATTATTTGTGCATGAGGTCTTCATTAGTTGCTCTTGCAATTACCTACGAGGGATATCGCTTCTGTTTAACAATACCGCAATTTTCCGGTTTAGCATCATCGAAATTTCAAGGCAAGGAGTTTATTGGAGATAGGGAATATTTTCTTGTTTTTCTAGCATTATCATCTTTGTCCTTGTCCAATGAACAAACAAAAATATGGATGCAAAATTAGCTGTTGAAACAAATTTTTCTTGACAATCACACTAGACCTGGTACTCTGACAGTGCCTAAGGCTGCAGCACAATTGCAAATGGTTCTTATTAGAAAAGAGTTGGTTTTAGTTATTTGGGTGCTTATTACGAAAAACGGAGTCAATAGAGGGTTTGCATTCGGATGCTTGATGCAGAAGAGCACTAAATTGAATCATCATGATTTTTTTCAGCTGCGTGGCTTTCCGGCCTCGATAACCTCCAAGGCAATGCTGGCAAACATCGTGACTCGCTTAATATGGACTTCGTCTGCTCAGCACACAGCTGTGAATTATCCAATTACAGCCTACGGAGCATTCACGCCGAATATGCCAACGAAGATGTACGATGATGACCGAGTGGCGCCCGAAGTATTCAACCCTTTCCGACTGCCGAATGGATTTGTGTCAGCAGTAAGTATAAAGCTTATCAATAAAATAACTGTTCTTTTACGTTAGCAATTAAAAAAATAGAAATAAAATATAAAAGATGAAAAGAAGAAAACGAATCGCAAACAAACAAACCGGATGAATGTTTCAGCTAAGCTTAGTTTGCAGGGATGGCGCAGTGGTGAGAGCACTCGCCTCCCACTAATGTGGCCCGGATTCGATTCCCGGACCCGACGCCATAAGTGGGTTGAGTTTGAGTTGGTTCTCTTCTCTGCTTCGAGGGTTTTTCTCCGGGTTCTCCGGTTTCCCCCCCTCAGCAAAAACCAACATACAGCTGATTCCAGTTGGCTGTAAGCTGTGCTCCAAGGT